GACCTGCTGGCCACGCTTCTCCCGATGCAGCCCAGAGTACGGTTGGCCTTCTGGGCTGCCAGCGCACATTGCCGGCTCATGTCCAGCTTTTCATCCACCAGCACCCCCAAGTCCCTCTCGGCAGGGCTGCTCTCGATCCTTTCTTCCCCCAGCCTGTACTGATACTGGGGGTTACCCCGACCCAGGTGCAGGACCTTGCACTTGGCCTTGTTGAACCTCATGAGGTTCACACAGGCCCACCTCTCCAGCCTGTCCAGGTCTCTCTGGATGACATCCCGTCCTTCAGGTGTGTCAACTGCACCACTCAGCTTGGTGTCATCCGCAAACTTGCTGAGGGTGCACTCGATCTCGCTAAGTCATTGATGAAAACATTAAAGGACAAAAATTAGTCTGCTAAGTCTAGTAATAGTTAAACCGGGCAATTAACTATTCTCCTGCAAGAAAAAGCTCTCACAAAATATATGTTACTGGTTTTTGCATTTACATGCCAGTAATCCTAAAATGCAAAGACAGCAGAAGAATGGCATTATTCTTCGGATTTCACTGATTCAGATATCCTTTAAACCACTGTACTGATCATCAGGGAATCTATTTCTATAACACTAAGTTTATTCATGCACATACAGGAACTATTCCCAGGAAAAAAGAATAGTAATACAAGAACAACTACAAATACAAAATACGGTTTTTTTTAAATAAAAACTTACTGTACATTTACCTCATCTAGAAGACGCTCCTTTTCAACTTCAATTAAATCTATCATCAAACTAGAAAAAAAGAAAAGAAAAAAAAAATCAGTATTTTAGCCAAGAAGCAAAAAATCTAATACAGAACTCAAACCCCACCCTGTGCTTGCTGAGTATCCAGGCTTCCACTGAGATCAAAAGAGCAGAATACTATTCTTTTAGCCCCTAAGAGAGGAAGAAGTAGGGAATGAAATGGCTGAACGAAGATGAATGCAGGAGAACAGAAAATATGCCTGTACTAGAGCCCATTTTGTAGCTAGGAGGGCAACTGGCACAATACGGCTCACATACATATGACCAAACTCTCAAAACAGTGACCACATCCAAACTACCCACTGGAAATAGCCCCTGGACATATGCTATGACCGAATTCATGCTTTGGCTTTGTCTGGAGGAGTGCTAGTTCATACAAGCTAAAAACGTACCAGGGAATCTGCTAAAAATTAAACAGGGCAGACAACTGCATGCCAGTGCATGAACATCTGTCGTGGCTTTATATTTTATTAGTACTGATGTACACATTATGCCACTTTCCCCCCCCACCACTTCAGTGTAAGATTAGGGAAGTGCAAAGAAAAGAAGCCTTTGTACTACCTACTTCTTTTTTTTAATGAGAAGAGAAGTAGGTACTGTTGCTCCTGTTAAGAGAGAAGGAGCTGGAAAGATAAGGGAGTTCTACTCTGTATGGAAAGCAACAATGGGAAGCTCCAAAACTCTGCAAGAAATAAAGGTGACAAATTACTGGAGAAAGAAGCTGACTAAAACCCTGAAATGTTTATGGGTAAACGCTAAAGGTAGGCCTATGGAATCTAAGAGTGAGTAATGTTTGCGAAAGCATTACAGCAAATTTTTTTTGTTAACCAAACAGTTAAGATCAGCTCTTAGAGAAAAATAAACTGTGAGCTAGCCATTTAAAAACTATGAAGATGAAGAAGATACACAGTTATAAAGCTATATTAACTTTGATTGAAGAAATAATTAAGACTTAGTGCTAGCTTACGAACATTAAAGCAGGTAGGGTACAATTCCTAACAAAAAACCCAACCCTCTTTTTTTCTGGGTACCCACAATACTTACCTTATTTTTAAAAAAAATATACAAACATACAGAATTGTATATACACACACAAGTACATTTTTATATACGTATATGAAGTAATTAGGGAACTACTTACTACCACCATTTTGAAAACATAATGAACTTATAGTAATATAGCAGAACTACAACTGCAATAAAATGCAAAAAGGGAAAAAAAAAAGATTACATCAAAATGCTTCATCTATTTTCAATACCTACTAGCATATTCTCCATAACATTTACCTTCCCAGGAAGTCATCTTTATCTGGATCTTCATCAAAAAGCTCAATCTCTAGCTCCTGTCCTGGATGTTCATATACTAAGGCCTGAAAGTACAGTAAGATGGCACTGTCAATGGTAATACTAACAAGCTTTTTTGAATGGCATAGTAATAGTAAAATATCGAACTGCAGTGCCTTTGTGTATTAAAACCTATCAATAAGCAAATGCTTTAAAAAAGATGCAATTAAATAGGTAGAGCAAGGATAAGAGCTTTACAGATAAGATTTCCTAATGTTGGCTTTAAGAGACTACACTGCTTTTCAGGATTACTGATGCTTAGTCTAGACAAAAGTAGTATATACATCAATGGAGAATTTCTGTTTTGTTACAGAACTTTGGGCTTTCAGAGGAAGACATCAAGAAGCTCCTCGAGGAAGTCCCCAGAGTATCTCCTTTAACAAAAGAAACTTTAGACAACTTTACAGAACGCGCAAGATATTTTTATTGATTATACCTCATAAACTTCATTCCATTTTGGATTGAGATTTTCTTTGATGACCTTGCTTTGGAAAATCTGGTTGCCCACACGGATGATTCCGTAAGGATCTGACTTGCCTTTGACAATCCCCTTTAGGTAAGTATCTTTCCCCTCCAGGTCCTGAGCTTCAATAAAGTGTATCCTTAGAACACCCTGAAAAAGGAAAAGATGAGTTTATGTAGTAATCTGAAAGCCTCCATGCCATCACAATTTATGCAATATATGTTTTATAATTTCCATTGCAATTTCCTTAACATGAAACTTAGTTTGGACACACTGTAAATTGAGGGATATCAATGATGATCCACATATAAAGCAGACCTAGCACTCAAGAGATTCCTGAAAAGAAAAACTGTCGCCAACAATCAGAAACGTGCCAGTGATATCAAGAAGTGCGATAATACTGGAAGTGAGCAGAAAGAAGTAGTAACAACTTCCAAGTGAAGAACACTAACAATAGTTTGCAGTGCTAATATAAAACATGTGCTACTTAATTTTTAGTCTATACAGTTGAACTATATTTTAACAAGTAATATGTTAAGATTCAAGCAAAACAAAAAAATCCTTGTTGGTGTTATTATGAAACATTAACTCTACAGAAATTATTGATAAATTAAATCAACTATTTTAAGTGACTGGATCCACGATAACTTGTACTACTGCAATAACTATATTTAGAAATTCACACAAATAAGCATATCTTTAAGAGTTACTACTACAGAAAAAACTAAATGCCAAATCATTAGTATTAACAGAAACATGCTTACCTTTGGTATAGGAAACCGCAACTGAGCAATCTGCACTTCACTGACAAGGGGGACTGTAATTCTGTTTGGAAGGACCAGGTAGTTGGATATTATGTCCAATATTATTGTATCTGATAAGCCACTGTTGGGAGAAAATAACCCTCAGTTACTTCATGAGAATTAAACACATGTTATGTCACACTAATATACTCTTTTTGCTGCTTAGCAACCTAAAAATTTGCCTTTTTGGGGGGCGGGGGGGGGTAGAAAACACATCTCATTTTGAAACACTTTTTTTTAAAAATAAAAGATTCTTGCGAAAATGGCCACCAGGTGGAAGCCGCTGACTCGGAATAGCAGAAACCACAGAGATGACTATAAAGGTCTCATTCCCCTGCCACCACCAAGTTCCTTCCTCATCCCCGCCTTTTAAAGCCACCCAGGGTAACAGGCTGTTGCATAAGTTTTCTTGCATGCATTGCATATAACCAAGCAGATGTTAACTGTTAATCTACTTTTGTATTTCAATAATGATTTAACTGCTCCGGAAAGTTTGGCCAACCATTCCCGTATTGTTATGAAACCAGTTGTCCCCTTGAGCTGGGGGGACTGTCATTGAAAACAGAAACACAAAGAAAATACGCCCGTGGCCGAGTAAATATAGCCTAGGGGAGCAAAACAGGTTTTGTTCTGGCAAAAAGGGAGTGGCGGTACAATCGCACTGGTAATGAATCATTTAAAAACCCATACCCCATACCCCTCCACAAACACAGAAAAGAAGATGATTTCCTAAGCTACGAGCTCACCCAGTTTGGGTCTGAACAAATTGGTACATTGTCAGACCAACACCACTGGTTACTACACTGGCAAAAAGGCAGAACTGGAACGGTGCAATTCACCATGGAAGACAAATATCCAGGAAGATTTTGGGGGTATGTACAAAAGTTCAGAGAGAAAATTATGAAAATGCTTGAGACATTCTGAACTGAATCTGCAGCTGGGAGTAGCTCTGACTCAGCAGCGAAATGTAATATATATTACATCTTCATTTGGGAAGAAAACTTCATGGCGAGCAATAACCATATTATGGTAGAGATGGGTAATAGAATTAACCCATTAAATACAACCTGGCCCATTTCAAATTCACATTGATCTTTCATGCCAGAGATTTGCAACCTCTATAGCCTGCATCCCCTTGGCTGCCCACTTCCACTGTAAATCCAGATGAACTATGATAAATGATAGAACATAGATGACTTTTTATAGCACCCAGTACAATAGGAACAGAAGAAACTCAAGGCTGCATCAAGATCAACAGACACATCCATGCAGACCTCTGTTTATTCTCTGGAAGAAGTGACAGTGGGTGATGTTAAGAGGAAATGCTCAGAGGAAAAGTTTCCCCTCAACTTCTGTGAGTTAATTCACATCTGTCCTAAAGCGGAGTCTTCATTCCCCTTCCCTTCTTGAAGAGTTTATCCAATCATATTTACAAGATTTTCATTCTACATGAAAACTGAACCCTACAAATTTATAGTTTTGGTAATTCTTAAGACAACTACTACAAGAAGATAATTATGTTATTTGAAAATAAGTAGCTTCCTTTAGTCGGCATTGTAACACATGTTGCTTTTCAAACTTTTCCAGTTCCGTTTTGCTAAACATCAAGTTTTCAACTCATGTATGCTAAACTTTCTCTAAAATGGGCCAAGAAAATAGAACCCATTATTTTGTTAGAGTTGACTTAAAAATTGAAGATAAACGTCTCAAACAGTCTTAACGTTAAAAGGAAAAATAAAAACAGAACAGCTGAGGTGATGGTAACTACACAAGCAACAATCACTCTTTTCAAAAATACAAGAAGTCTGATGACAAATCTCCAGAAAAGTTTGTTTTGTTCATGCTTTTGCGTCCCTACCTGGCAAGAAGAGAAAGCTCTGCCTTTACGCTCAGTGAAGTGCATGCCTTAAGAACAGACCATTAATGGAGAAAACTACCTGCCCTAGGTCAGAGAAAGCAAACGAGCAGTGCAAGAGGGGCAATGGTACCAGAGATGCCTTGGAAGAAAGGCTACCGTGCTCCTCTCCAGGATTTAGTTAAGATCACATAAGATCATGTATATTATAATAAACCTATCCTAGACTAGCAGGAGGTTCAGAGATCGATTAATGTTCAAATGGAGCTACAGTAGATCTCCTTAAATAAGAGAAAGAAACAGCCTGAAGCACAAAAGAGCCCAGGATGGGGTGTGGAGGATTCACAATCCTTTCTGCTAGGACCAGCCCTCAACTCTGTGATTCTAGCGGTCAGTCTCGCAATTTTATCCCAACAGAAATGCCTGAATTTCACTAACACATCTGAGAAATGAGTATGAAAAATGAACCAGCATTAATGGAATTTCACAGAAGTTTACACAGAGAAACCAGACTCAGAGGAGGCAGCAGATATTCTGTCTTTAAAAACAGGAAGCTGAAAAAGAATACCGAAGATCGTAACTAAGTAATGAATTAAGTGAATTCTAAAACAACATGACACTTTCAAGCTGTTTACAACTTATCTAACCAAATATTAGCCAGCTGGGATGCTCCCATCTGGGAAGTATGTTTCATGAATACAAGGGAAAAAATGACAGTCTCTTTTTATTTTATTACTTAAACAAAGAGGTCTGAGCTATGGGAAACAAGAGACAATTCACTGATCAAGCAACAGAGAAAGATGTATCAATTTAAACCCTTATGTTGTGGCATCATTGATAAAACAGCTTCTTAAGATTGTAAAACTCTCAGTCATTGATTCTACATTTTTTCAGTTCACAAAAATGAGAGAAGTGTGAAATGCTTCAGATACTTTATTATAGTAAATGTCTTCAAAAGCTCAATTTCATTGCAGAAAAATAATTGGCAGTTACCTACTCTGTTGTATTGCTCTCTATTTAGCTCTACTTAATTTTTAGAGACAGAACAAGCAGCTATGTATTTTTCCTGCATCGTCTTTACTCATTCTGCAGGGACAGCACATCTCTGACTACACAGAGTATTTTTACTGTATCTCAAGCAACCATAACAGAATTCATCTTCCCATCATCCACATCTCCTCCTGACAGCACTTGAGTGTTCTCGCAGCCTGGCTCCTCCTCACATAAGCGATTTTAATTCCACTCCTCCGTAAGCTGTACTAATGATGGAATATGAATTACTTCTGCGTCCTTCTCCTTGTGGAATCATATACAAAGAGCAATGGAAGTTGTTAACAGCTGGCAGGGAAGCTTCCAGCAGCAAATGCAGAAATTCAGTTAGCAGAAGACATTTGCAAATAGAGTACAAATAAGTAGTTTAGTGTGCAGCAGACAACCGTAGGACGAGAAAGGTACCTGCGGTGGCAGCAACCTCTTGTTCATCATTGTTCATAACAACTACAATATGTCAAGCTGTCCTACCAAAATATACAATCTATCTATACAGATAAGAAAAACAAATACAGCACTGAAGAAATCTTTTGGCAAGGCAGAGCATGAGTCACCTCAGTTACAGTTACTATAGAAACTATACCACGTCTAGATGGCACCAGTATATAGCTATGTGGCCAAGCGTGGTTGCTCTGGAAACCATAAACTCGAGATACTTAGCGAGACTTTGTTTACATTTGAGGTTTTGTGTTTGCAGTCAAGCAAACACATAGCACGGTATGAATCTCAGGAGCCTAGTAAGCTTAAGTACTAAACGTAAATTTATTAGCGTTGTATCAAAATAGCAAACTATTACTCAGGAGCTGTATTTTGGAAGCCATTTTCTCACTCATCAAGAAAACCTCTTTCCTCAGAGGCAGCCTTAAGCAGGCTTGAAACAAAAGCAATTTTTGCAGCCATTAACCTACTTAATGCAAGTTCTAATTTCAAACTGTTCAACTGGGATTCCATGCAAGGGCTTCACATGTCTAAGGAAAGCAAAAACCATTTCAGTCATGCAACTGAGCAGTAAAGGATTAATTTAATACCTAAATTGAAACTCTTGTTTTTAAACAATAAAAAATAATTCTGGAGTCAGCCAGCTCTTGAGAGTATGGGATCCAATAAAAGGACCAGTCAGAAAATCCAAGTGTGTATCAGATCTACCATTATCCCCTTAGCCATTGTCTCAGTATTAAAAAGCCCCCGGGTAGCTATTACAACTTGATAATTATAAATATATTCATGGATTTAACCTTATCAGGATTGCAATGATTGAAAATAGCTTGGTTATCACCTCTGCTTCTGCTTTTTAATTTCCAGTTTCATCATGTACTATTTTGAAAGGCTCTGAATAAGACAAGCATTTTTTCTAGCTATATATGGTCAATATTTTTGCTATTCCATTTGATCTTCACATAATAAACTGAAAACTTTACAAGTAAGTACTTGAAGAGATTAGAAAGTTTATTTCATTTGATTACTGTCTTAAGATATTTCTAACTACCTTTACACAAGCAACTTTGTCTTTCTGCTGTCCTAGAAGATGTCAGATAGGAAAGTCACAAGATTCTTAAACCTGGAAAGGCTGTGAACACTAAAAAAAGCAGATTACAAATTATCTTTTCAAAATGTGTATAACAAGACCCACTAGATATACTTCTGATGTACTTTCATTTGGAGTGAAATCACTACCTTCTGCCTACTGAGCAAAATCTAAATTAAGAGGTAACTGCTCAGATTCATTTAACGTAAAATCATTTAGCTGATTTACATTTTCTGGAGTTTATTGGGGTGGAGGAATATCAAACACTGCTTTGCATATACTCACTTCAGTCCTGGAACATCCAGAAGATTGGTCAGTCCAGTCCAGTTAATTTCCAAAAGCTGTGAATTACAGAGAAGAGAGACAGAAAAAAAGAAAAAAAGAAAAGCAACTTAGAATTCACAACACTGAAAAAAATAAACCTGATCACTGTAGATTCTGATCAGTGGAGGGTTAATAACCAGTTTCCAGGATTTTCTTCAACAGAAACCCAAAACCTCTTCCACACTAAATAATTTTTAGCCACGGTTTTTAAAACAGAGTTATGAAAACAACTCACAATCCTCTTACCCACCCTTCCACACATAAATACACACATGCACATAATATATACACATGATATACATGTACAAGTATCTACTACATACAACCAACATCAAATAATGAAATGCTGCCGTATTCTCTGGAGAAATATTTTAATATTCACCATAGAACTGTTATAGGTGAACAGTCACCAATATGAATTTGCAAAGTATAATAAGCTGATGAAGAATCCCATTTGAGATCAGGAAAACAAGAGATCCAGAAGACATGACCAAAGGAAAGAATGAAGGATTGGCATTAAGAAAGTGAAAGGAGGACATGACAACAACTTGCAAACACAGAGGCGGCTGTTTTCAATGACAAAGAGACAAATTCATTTTACCACTTATGCAGTGAAGAAGAAAGGTATCAACAGGATTAGGTATCAAAGTGGGAAAAATCCTCAAAATAATGAATAGGGATAACTCGTTGCTAGATTATATATACTTCCTTCACTGAAAATCTTTACAGAATATTAGACATACAAATGCTATAAAGGTACATTATTCTGTTTCAGGATTCTGCTGCTGGCATTAACAATTAATTTCTAATGTCCTTTTCAATCCTATAATCTCATTCTAGATAACAAGACTAACAGAACTGAGTTTCCTTACCCCCTCCTTTCTCAGTAAAAGCTTTCCATTAACTGCATAGAAGTTAACTGAATATAAGCAACAAACAAATCCAAACCCACCCAACTACCACCATGCTTCCAAATCCAACTAACCCACAATCTAAGGATAACTCCATAAAAAAAGTTTAAAAGATTTTGAGATTCCTCAGTTAAGTGATTGTGGTAGTTCAGTTAAATGCTGAAACAAAACAACAAATCTCTACAAGAACCTATGTTGCATCCTTCCACAAAGAGGCAAGAATCACCCTACATTCATTTTCTATTAAAAAAAACCCAGCACATCCCATTCTTCATAAAGGATCTATTAATAGTTTAATTAGTGATTTCCTCTGTGAATACTTTGACTAAAGATAACACAGAATACACTTACATAAGGACCACTGTTACTTAATATACTTTTGTAATGGTGGCCAAACATTTCAACAATGTTATCTATGAATCAACAAACAATTAAGCACAAAAAAATCATTATCCTTTCTTCAACGGAAAAGGTAGTAAGATTTAGTACTGAATATTCCAAAAGAAAAGGCAAGACGTATCATGGGATGTACTGCAAGAACCTACACAAGCCAGCAACATGCCCTTGCCACAGAGAAGGCTAATGCTACCCTGGACTGCATTAGGCAAAGCATTGCCAGCCGGCTGAGGGAGGTGATCCTTCCCCTCTACTCAGCACTGGTGAGGCCACGCCTGGGTGCTGGGTCCAGTTCTGTGCTCCTCAGCACATGGACATACTGGAGACAGTCCAACAAAGGGTCATGAAGATGATTAAGGGACTGGAGCATCTGTCCTATGAGGAAAGGCTGATAGAGCTGGGGCTGTTTTGTCTGGAGAAGAGAAGGCTCGGGGAGGATCTTACTAATATCTGTAAATTCCTGAAAGGAAGGTGCAAAAAAGCAAGAGCCAGGCTCAGTGACAGGACCAGAGGCAATGGGCACAAACTGAAACACAGAAGGTTCCCTCTGAATATCAGGAAACACTTTTTTTACTGTGAGGGTGACTGAGTGTTGGAGCAGTTTACCCAGAGGGGTTCTGGAGTCTCCATCCTTGGAGATACTCAAAAGCCATCTGGACATAGTCCTGAGCAACCAGCTCTAGGTGGCCCCGCTTAAGCAGAGGGGCTGGACCAGATGACTTCCAGAGGTCCCTGCCAACCTCCACTATTCTGTAAGTCTGTGAACATACTGTAACAGAATACAAACATTTGCTCCCACCCAGGGAATAAGATTAGTGTCTTCCTAACTGTGCCACTGAGAAGGGTGAATAAACCTACAGACTTCAATAGAACGCTTAAAATTTAGCACTTGCCCTGCTGATATCCATTCAGGAAATTGCTGTAAGATTTTCCTTAGCCTCCTTTTATTGTGTTACACTCCTGTATTGCTATATAGTTAGGGAAGAAACAGAAATAGGGACTCCACTAACACGGGCATCTAACTTAAACTTCACTGGATGGTTCAAAGAAGCTTTCTCTCTACCTCCATCAATTAAAAGGAACCCAGTGGAGATCTGCCATATTTCAACATTTAGAAACCAACACACTTAGAACAAAATAATGATACATTTATACAGATCATTACAGTTTATGTTTGCTTCTTCTAAATGCAATTTTCTAAACTCTTCAGGATATTCATGTTTCCCAGACTCTTGAGAGAATGAGTGAAAGTCAAAACAATTTCTCATTCTGTCACTACAGCATCAGACAGAAGAAAAGAGCCCTCAGAATGACAGCTAAACTTCATGGTTTACCTCTATTCATTTTCTTACTTCACATAGTTTTATATTGTGCAAGTTAAAATGCAGTAAACAATAAATTTCTGCCAGTTGTACATATTTTATTATATTTGTATTGTATTTAATTATGCCTTTGCATCCTCCCTTTTCCCCTTGACAATAACAGAGTATTCCCTTTATCCATCCATTTCATACATTTCAGAACCCATCTCATATAAAAATGCTTTGGGTATTTTATGCAATGGAAACCAAAGCCTGGCTGTAAGTTTTCAATTTCCTAGTCGACAGAAATCTTTACTTATGCAGAAATCAAGTGTGATGTACATGACATTAAGGGAAAAATGAACTCATTTGAAAAGGTTTCTGAAGATGCTCGTGTCTATAGCATTGTCTCACATTTTACCATTGCATTCATCATTTAGTCGGTGTTGTGTACAAATTATTCAGATAATGTCCTGGTATCACCTGGGATAGAGTTAATTTTATGAGATAGGTTCTGAAATAGGAATATACACCTTTCTGTCAGAAGACACATGCAAAGAACTATCTTTGCCAGTCTGAATGGAGGCTCTGTACTTCTTCACTCAGTTTTTTTCACTATCCATAAAACCATTACAGGCTCCTTTCTTGTCCCTTCTCCCTTACCAGCAGGACTGAGGTCACTGCTTGGGCCCCCGTGCCCTTGAATCATCCCCAGAGCCATGCAGACACACTTGATGTTTTCTACATCTCCCCTGGAAGTGGTGTTGGTGCCCGCATGGAAGAGCAGCAGTGGGCAACAGTCTGAGGGACAGACAACCTTTCACAGTCGACAACATCCTCAGCCTGCAAGCAGCAAACCTCCTGAGATGGCAGGCGGGGTCCTCTGTCCCCAGCAGCCGGGAGTTGCTCAGTACTATCACACGCCACTTCCCCCTGGTGCTTCAGTGTAGCTCAGGCTCTGCTGGCTCAGATGCTCCCAGGCCCTCCTCTGCTACACTGGCCCATACAATCTGTTCCATAGTTGCAAATCTGCAGGTGGGGTAGGAGTCATCTTCCTTCTGCCAGAAAACTTCCAGCTTTCACCCTCATGGCAGAATCCCATCCTGCCGTGTCTCCAGAAGGTCAGAGGTCCTGTTTCAGGTGTCCCCACCTCTACAGAGAATCACACTAGATGCATGTGTGAGGGTAACTAAATTCAGCCTAAGCCATCTACTTGTTCACATACATCTGTCACATCTAAAACCAGACTGTCGGAATCTAAAGTGAAAAACGCTATCATTAGTAGATGTACAGATTGTACAGAGGCCAGTCCAGAGACTGGGGACTTTCATCATTCTTCTGGTGAAAGCATGAAGGTATCATTGGCTCCAGTACTATTTTGTAGTCTTTTTAAAAAGACATCTCATTTAAAACTAGTTTTGCCCACTTTCCATTAAAGTACTAGGAGGATTATTTAAGCAAGAAAAGGCTAACCTACCTTATACAGGAAAAAGTACATACTTGAGCACATAACATGGAGGAATTGATGTACTGTGGAATTCACATCATCACTTACCACACTGTTAATTGACTATGTATCCAAATTCTAATAAACATACTGGAAGTTCATCTAGTACATGTGAAAATGTCCTATACTTCTGAAAACACCGAGTTTTAGAAAATGCTTTTGAGAGACTTAGGTTATCAGGCTCATTTTCAACAGACAAAAAGGAGGTTAAAACCACTTGTCCAGTTTGCTCAAGAGCCGATGTTAACACAAAACCTCTGCTTTTCTTCTTCCAAATTTATCTTGCATTAACATACAATGCCTCCATCAATTACAGATCAGGCTGTCAGCCAAGTGCTTACAAGAAGTTGCACAGGAGAGGTGAACACAGACATCAGGAAAACAGGTTTGCAATTAACATTTTCAGGGAGGGAATGCACAGTTAACAACTGGATTGATAAAGATCCTCTTCAGGTAGGTGGGAGGCTCGGTTTGCTAAGGCACATCTATTTACAGAACACTAGCAAGGCTAAGTGGCAGTAATGCCTTCCAGAAGTGGATGAGATCTTACCTAAAACTCATACAGTACACTGAACATCTTGGTGGTGAGAGGTTTTTTAAAGGCATTATGATTTCTTTTCTACATGAATATCAATTTAAAGCTATCAGGTTTTTAATTTCCAAATGCAAAGAAAAGCTGTTAGAAATAATATTTGTTGGAAAATGGGTTATTTTACATAGATACGTTTTACTTGTACAGTTCAACAATAACAAATTATGAGCCAGAACACACAGAACATTGATATTTATGAAAATTGAAGACAATTTTGGTGTGTTCTTCTTTGAAAATTGATAGTGCAAATTATTAGTATATGTTCTCAAATCTCATGCTCACCTGAAAAAAAGTTAAGAAATGAGTAATT